GCATTTCATTCGCTATAACTTTAGACGATGTGAAAAATGTTGAAATGCTACGGGATACCTGGGTAACCGTTATGAAACAAATGCATGCAGGCACGATGCACTTTGTCAAAGTTAAAAGAGGTGGCATGCCATGTGAAGTCTGTCTGTATTCTCTTCCTGGCATAAGTGACGTCGGTAGATGTCAAGATTAAGAAATGAAAGCTGGCCGTTAGAGAAATTGGCCTAGCATGTACCATTAACCTAAGCCCGTGAGCCTCTCGTACTGCACTCGAAGCACGGCAGACGTCAATCAGTAAACAAGCATACGACACGCAAGAATAAGGTAGAGGCTTTCGGAAAGGGGTATTTCCTTTTGCTACACAGAAACCGAAGCCTTAGAGTAAATGTGTGTCAAAACGCTGGTAATACAGCGGAAATGTAAATGCTCTAAACATACACAGAAACATTACAACTGGGACTTGTTCAAGGCTCAGTCTTATCCCATACCAAACGAATATTACATTTTTAAGATTCCTGCGTTTCTATTAAACTTGCTTATGACATGACCATCAAGAGACTTCGTGGAGTTCATAAAGACCTACAAACAGAGATCGAAACGTTTCAAAGCTTTCCCATTGAAAATGATAAAATAAACGTCCAAATCTCCTGCTGTAAACAAAGATAAAAATGTGTTTTAACAATAAACCATCATCTTATCTTCTGCAGATAAACGAAGGTACTTGAAACATTGTCTTAGATTTCTAATCTACTTAAATGAGTTCATGAACAGGCGCAGCAAATTAAGAAGAGTTTTCTCTCCGGATTTCAGGCTCGACGATTGCTGTCTGCCAAGTCCCGTTATCGCAGCTAGTACTCTTCCACTTTTGCATGAGCCGTTCATCTAATAATAGTTTTCATGAAATGTCTGCTTTTAAACCAATACGAAATATTGTCATTTCGACAATAGTGCTTTAAAGAATCTTACAACTTTTAAATCTTCATTATATCGCTGCATTTCTACGTTTTCAAATTCAAAGCATCCTGTCACCATACCTGACTACAGATCTTCCCATTAGTTGTCAAATTTCTGTAAATCAGATATTCGCAGCGCGTTATAAAAGTTACCATTATTGTTCATGAATACTTTCACTGTAGGTCTGAAAAAACACATGAACTTGCATACCAATCGATCCATCCTTCAAAATACAAAATTCTTAGTTGAATGTAAGTACTTCACAACACATATAGCTGAAATCAATTTTATTGAAATCCGATTTTCTTTAGCATAATGTCTAAGATGCCGCTGTATATATTTTTGAAATGTTCAATTTTAGCAGAGAATAACCAGAAAAAATGAAATCAAACCGGAAGATATTACAAAGGACCTGTGGGAAAAAATGGGGCGTAACCAACACATTTTAATGCTTATTGGAACTCGGTGCGAACGAACTTGCTGTCTTTCAACAAGATCATCTACTGCTGGTTGTTCAAAATGACCCCGATTAAATTCCACAAGTGTGAATCTGCAATTGTGCGGCTTCAACAACTCGTTGTCTGCCTACAAAACGACACATGATGATGGCACAACGAAGAAAAGCCTTCTGGTACTTGTCCCGGATAGCAGTGAGGAAGTGCTAATAAGCATCACTGATTCCATAATTGAGGGCAAATGGGTATCGTCTCAGACTGCAATCATGTTTATAACAAAATCGAAGTAGAATGCATTCTGAACGGGCAGAAGGGCAGCCGAACATAAACCAAATTTAAAATTTCTTAACCCATAAGCAGTCAAACACTTAGACTAATCACCCGATGAAGATGGATGGACAAGATAATTTTGGGACTTAACACAAGTTCTCGACCATTTAGATGGTTGAGTCAATTCATCAACTCAGACGGCATAGCCCAATTTTGACCATTGAAAATTATGCACAAACAGCTAATTGAAATGGTAGTTTTTCTTCTTCATATTTAATTGATTCAATAAACGTTAAAAACCGTTTGACAAAAATTTGGAGGAAAAATGAAAAATGTTTGCCCTGGTGATGGCGAATTTAGCTTGAGTAAAACGTCAGCAGTGCCATTAAAGACTACCAGTGCGTCTGTCTGATTCATTGCGTCTAGAAACATTGAATAATGAGTTGGTTGCAAAAGACACGAATGAATTTCAGATCTAATAACCGGTTGATTAGTATACAAGGCGTCTAACGTAGTGATAGACGAATATCGATGTTTCTCTGGTAATATCCTTTCTCCTATCAGCTCCAAACAAACCACCAGCACCGGATGAATCAAAAAACGTCGAATGTCGTCCACAGATGTACCTTGCACAAGGCCCAACACGACCAAAATATGGGTCGAGAGCTGATAGCGGCCAATCACCCCAAAATCCTTTTTACCGCGCTACGTATTAATAAATCTTGGTTTAACTGTTTGTCAAAATTACAATCAGCGAGTGAACCAAATCAAACGTTCCACCGATACGAATTTTTCTTAAATAAAATTGAAGGTAGATATCGATTCGTTGCTCATCTGACTATTCAACGGGGTTCTTCTTCATATTCAGAAGGTAAACCGCAGGAAAAAGGCGACAATAACCGAGCTCACCGATGAAAACTGGAAACGGGTCAAGCGTCCTCAGAGAGCTGTCACCCGCAGCCCGATTTTGCCCGCGTGAAAAACAAAACGCCTGGAAAGGGCGAACAGTAGTCAAAACTATTCGCAAGATCGAACTGAATGTAAAGCAGATTCCTGTGCTGCTCAGGTCAGACTACGGCAGGAATGACATGATATTCGCCCGACAGGGAGTGCTAAGAAATGCATATGAAAAGCCGTAATGCAGAAATCGAAGTCACCCCTATTCATGGGTACAACTATTGAACGCTAAACGGAAAAAGTTGTATCCATCAATTAAATTACGAGCCCCCACCCCATACAAAGTACAATATTTTGGCCAGTGACAGATAATATCTCGTCTCTGATGGGACGATGATTTAATAAAAATTTTGAAGCTCCTGGAAGGAAATCGCGAGAAACAAGCGAGAAAGGGCATCGAGACTTTGAACCGGTGATCGCCGTTAATTGGGTAGACGGATCAGTACAAGAATGGGCAGAAGAAAGTTGCTTATCGGTGCTTTGATGGCACAAGACTAAATCTCCCCCCCCCCACCAAACGGCACCAAACAATAGCAGGCGGAATTTAATGATTGTTTGTAAAACTATTTCCAAGTGTCTAGTTAAATACCCTGCTGTCAGTAATGAAGAATCCTGTCTTCGCCTTGAAGAGATCAGTAACGTATTTCGTTGCTCAGCAAAAGACGCGATTACAGAGGATTAACATGTCTTACGTCTACCTACAATGATGCTTTATCGGTCTTTTAAGTTAACATAATCAAGGCAACTCGGAATGAGACCAAATCAAAAGACACTGAAATCGGTCGAAACAGGTTTTAAATTACGGCTTGATGTGCATTTGTTGAGATCAACGCCTCGAGACGTAACGAATAAATGACTCGTCCAACCACCAGATTGAGACATCGAGCTGTTTGCATAAGCGGAACGCCTCTGGTTTGCGATGTCGTAACTTTACAACATGTTTGTACGTAAGGCACCAGAGCCGACAGCGGTTGATGAGATGCGTGACAAAGAAAAGAGAAGGGAAAACATGTCAAGAACGAAGTAGGATGCAGCCGGATACCGAGAGTAAGGTAAACATCAGATACACAAGGGGCGACATTAGTCGGAACATAAAAAATACGTTAAGGTCGAAAAACAGAGACCGACAATGACGATAAGCAGATGTCGCGACCAGGAAATGCTGCAAACCCCGCGTGCACGACATAACGTAAGCA